CGGCGACTGATCTGCCTCACCCGGGAAGAGCGCAATGATGGTGCCAACTTGGGCCAGTGAAGCAACGTCCTCCACAACTAGACTGAAGAACAACAACAACAACAAAAAAGGACAGCAATTGTCTGTTTCCCTTCCCCCAATTCCCCAGCACTGTTTCCATCCCCCAATTCCCCAATAAAAATGTTAAAATAAAATAAAATAAAAAAATAAAAAATAAAAACAAAAATGTTGTTACTGTTTCACTTAGTCCAGTCCGACATCTCGGACAGCAGTGGCTGTGCTTCATTGCAGGTGTTTCTGGAACCCAGGTCAAGGGAGGCTTTGCTCTCTAACATGTGGCTTCTAAGGTGGCCATGGTCATTTTCATCCCCGCCAGTCAGAAGGGGAAAGTGTGTGGAGGAGCTTTCCTGGGAGATTTTCAAGGTAGGCTGCCAAGAGGCACACATGTTTCACTTCTGTTCATATTTCCCATGAGAGGACTTAGTCACTGGGTCACACCTAACCGAAAGAGAGGCTGGGATATGTCATCTTGCCTTTAAGAACAAAGGGAGATTTGAGAGCTAGTATCTGCCACCATGACTTCATCTTCCCTATCTTTGTAAGCCAACAGCTTCCCAAAGAATACACTTCTGAGAAATGTTAGTGGTATGGATGCACACATGGCAGAAGAGGAAAGAATACATATGGGCCAAACACTGGTTGTCTTCCGGGCTTTACCATGATTGGTCTTCAAAATACCAGAGTTTTTCAGTTGTGAGTGGTGGGTCCTTAGGAAGATGGACATTGATAAGTGGGAGAAGAGTTACAAGTGGAAAAGTTAAGAGATGCTGTATGAGTTCATAAAAAAGGAACCTGACGTAGGCCGAGGGTTTGGACGTTACATGTGACCAGAGGGCAAGATTAGGAATTGCTGAAGCAGAGATGGATTGGGGGTCCCTCAGATGCACACAAGCAACCTTGAAGCTGCACATGTGGAAAAAATGCGACTAGTAATAATCTCAATGGGAGGTTTTCCGTGGAGCCATCAGTATAGGTTCTGGGCCTCTTTTTCATTTTTTATGGAGGAGTGATGGAGGCATAATCTTTGCATGAGCTATATCTCCCATTTCTATATCTTCTAAATCAGTATATGTTGAAATCAGTAATTTATAGACTGCACAAATATCCCTCAGTGTGATTCTAGTTAAAGCATCTGATTAATCATGTTAATCTAAAAATTGCCCTTTAGAAAGATTTATGCCATCAGAATTCTTTGTGTTCTGTTGTTACTGGTGGGGCATATAATTCCTAAAATTATTATAATTGGTTACTGGAGTAGAGACCATAGGATAGCCCAGGGCACATTTGTACCCCAAAGGGACCAATTGCTAGGCTCACAAAATTATAGACCTGTCATTCTATGGGATAGCCCTTCAAACTCTAGCTCTTTGTGCAATAAATTCCAAACATGAGTCTCAATCATTAGAAACCAGCAGGTTATGGGTTGACCATTGACTTCTAACTATCTTGACTAATAACAATGTTGTATGGAGTATTCTAAGACTTTTCATATATTGACCGTTCTATCAGTGGGAGCTAGCTGTGGACAAAGCCATATGATCATACTGTGACATCAAGTCATGACCCTTCTTCAGGGTGTTTATTCTACTAACTGGAAAAGTAAGAGATACCTCCTAACAGAGCAAATTGTCCTTTTAGATGGCATAAAATGGGGTGATTTCTTTTTCTTCTACGATTTTTAACATACGTGAATAGCATTGGCATTTGTTTTAAAACTGCAGGACTACTCTCATGCTATAGCAGAAAAATAAGCCCCCGTCCTGTGAGATAACACAATCCTAGTGACAGGTAGTAGTAACTTCAGGAAACAGTTAAGCTCATGACTATTCTTGAGCAAGGAGAACTGCCTAATTTATAATACACAAACAAAATGGCGATTTAGGGTAAACCCAAGTTGGGGGACACCTTAGTGTTCCAAATTGTTCCAAACGGTTAAATTGTTGGCCTTTTAGCAGGCTAATGATATGAATCTCCAAGGAGGACTTGGGTCTGGCATTTCCAAGATGTAGCTGACAACAAATATTGTGGAACAGAAAAATTGAATGCCCTGCCACTACAAAAGCGAGAAATGTTGGCTAAAATGTAGACATCTTTTTTTAAAAAGGCAAAGCAAAAGAAAGAAAAATCCACAGGGGCCAAAAACCATGAGGCAAATAAACATGACCTGGTACTGGGACTGCCCTAGTGGTGGTGATGGTGGTGGTAGAGAGCTACTGTCGTAGGCATCCAGAGAATGTGTTTTATTGGCCACACAGGTATAGGGTGACTGTAGCAAGATGGGAAGTTAGGACTGAAACTGCCTAAAAGTACTAGCTACATCCTCATTGAAACCAAAAATATCTGCTCATTAGCACATGGAAACTATAAGAAAGCTCATCTGTCTTGGCCTGGTCTTTGTGTTAAAAAACAATAGACTTCCCCGAGAAATCATATGGGCCTGACCTTATACAAATAGGAGTTTGAATTTACACTAGCTTCATAGTCTCCAAACCATGAAATTCTCATAAATAATGCTAATGGAGGCAAGGGGGGATACCAGTAGAAGCAAACACAGAAGGAATGCTATTGAAAACACCCTAAACCTCGCATAAAGATTCCTATAGATAAAGCCCCAGTTAAGATGAATTCACAATTCAAAATTACAAAATACACATGGAAACTATTCATCAGACAGCAGGATGAGACTTGCCCTAATCCTTGAAATAATATTGTCACATGAGAACTTTAAACTTTGAAAGTTTATTAAAAACATAAAAGAAGGGACATAAAACACAATAGAATAAGGTACTTTCTTAGAATAATGTATTTCAGGTTCATCCATGTGACATGCCTCAGTAATAGGTCAATTTTTTTACTGGTGTGTAGTATTTCATTGTATGAGTATATATCACATGGTTATTCATTCTACAGAATGAATTGACAGACACGTAGACTATTTCCAATTCTTGGTTGGCCCTTTAACTTTTTTGATTATGAGACATCCCCAGGACTACTTAGTAATAAGCTTTGATAAAAATACTGTAATGTTAAAAATATATTCCTTAGGATTTTCCAAGATCTGTTCTTGTATCACCAGAGAGCAACATATATCACACTTACAGGGAGCAGATGCTTAGGAAAACAGATACTGGAGCAGGTCTTCCTGGGGTCGAACCCCAAGTCCACCACTTACCAGGGGTATTAACTTAGTCCAGTTACCTAACTTCTCTTTGCCTCTTCTTTACAGTGGGAGTAGCAAGGGATTTCCACATCCATTAATGAAGTTCTTGAAGGCATCAGAGTTTAAAAGATAATGAAGGATTGTCAGGTTACCAGACCAGGATCTAGAGAAGATGGAAAGGTCAGGATGTGATCCTGGGATTTGGGGCTGCTTTTCTCCTGAGGTGCATTTGCTGTTTCTTGGAATGGGGGTGGAGAATTTGTTACAGAGCCTAAGTGATGCTTTTGAGAGCCTTGTCTGGCTGAGTAGACAAGGATTGGCTAAGAATTGGAGGGCCGGTGAAACTCCCTTGTTTGGATTGGGTCTCTGAAAGGACTCACACTAGGAATAAGGATGAACCAGAAGTAGACAGGCCCCCACATCTCAGCCTTGATCTCTTCAGCTCCTGAAACCAGGATGATGTGATCTCGGAAGCAAACGTAATTGCAGGGAGAAAGTAAATTGGTAATGATTGAGTTTTTAAGTTGAGTGGTGGGTTCTCTTGCCTTTTTTTGCTGTGAGGTAGGATTCCATAGTTTAAATAAATCCCGGGGCTCCTATAACTCTGTCTTTGTGGATTGTATCACTCAAAGGACCATAATCTAACAACCAAAAGTAAACACTGATTTTCTTATATTCCTTTATTTTTCTGCCTCTTTTAGTTTCCAAAGCAATTCCTTTCTTAAGCCAGCACTAACCATCCCCCTTTATTCTACAGACTATCCCTGAAAAAACACTCTATGGGGGGTGGCCAGGTGGCTCAGTCAGTTAGAGCACATGCTCTTAACAACAAGTTTGCCGGTTCTACTCCCGCAGCTGATGGTGGGCTGTGTGCTCCACAACTAGATTTAAAACAGCAACTGGACTTGGAGTTGAGCTGTGCCCTCTGCTTCAATCAACTAAAGTTGAAGGACAACAACTTGACTTGGAGCTGATGGGTACTGGATAAAACACATTGTTCCCTGAAAAAACACATTGTTCCCCAATAAAGTTTTGGTTTTTTTAATTCTCTCTAAAAAAAAAGAAAACACTCTATGGTGTTCCCAAAGTGTGAGCATTATTAGTTCTGTTTCCCCCTCCATTTTCTTCTCACCTACTAACTCCGTTTGTATCCTTTCTGGAGAAACGTCCTTTCTGATACAGATACCAAATCTCAGGTTA